ATAATATGATTAAATTCTGTATTTATTTTCATGCAGATGACTAGAGGAATATTCTTGATGCAGGGCCATTCTCATGCTAAATTTTAAATCTCTGCTCAGAAAGTGTAGCTGTATTAAAACAGTTCAAAATGTATGTTATCAAACACTCTTAATATAAGCAATTATACATGTTTTCAATCCAATTGTTTTCAAAAATGGTCGAAGTATTTCAGCTGACATTCTACAAAAATGACAGACATTTTCTGATGCAGAAATTTTAGCTGAAGTCATTGAAGCTTGACACTGCATAAAGTGTAAATAAATATAATAAATATAAACAGTAAATATAAGAAGTGTAAATAGGATGTGGTAGAAAGTATGACCAACTTGCAAATGTAGCAATAAGCCCTTGCCCCAAGTGAAGACTGTAAATGCCAGAATAAGAATTTGTTACTGAAGTTAAAGGTACTCCTTTTATTGTCACCTTTTATTAGCAGCCCATAACTGCTCTATTGTTCCACATGTTCTGACAGAGTGTTCATACTGCAGTGAAGTATAGATGCTCTTCAGGTGTTGAATAAAGTATTTACTATTTCCATATTTAGATACAGGACAATTTTTCAATGACATGCCTTGTAATTGCTTAATCAGAAAGGTTATATAAAATAGTTTTAGCAGTAGGGGGGTTTCTGATTAACTGATAATGGAGCAAACCCATATCACAGACTATTTTGATTATTTTGCCTTGATTACCAAATATTAGTCTGAACTTTTCCAAGAAAGATATCTAAGTTTTTAAGTCTGACATTTATTCACAGCATAGAAATGCTGTAAGAAATGGCAGTATTAGCTCTTTTATAATGTTGTTAGGACCTGCCCCTGAAGGTGAGAGTAACTGAGGTTCTTGTTAACAGATCCCTTGGGTAATCAGCGTGAAATGATATGGAATGACCAGTGTTTATGTATACACAGATACCACCACCCGTGGATCCAGTGATGAGATTTGATTGTTGCTTTGTTGAAGTGATGGTCACAGTCTTGATCTGTCAGGGGTGAGGAAGCCCCTGAAACATATAGTTCAGTGTGTTGATGTATGTTCAGTTTTAGCTAGGATCCCAAGGTACATCCCCTGGGGTGGGAGTTTGACACTGTCTATGGAAACTGTGGATCATGTTCAGTCCTCTGGTGGATGGCCCCAGAAATTAGTCTGGGGCACTTTGGGGATCTTTGATGGTTTATGACATCTTCTAAGACATTACAGCTCCTTCTCACATCCGCTTGGTTTAGCCAGTTATTCCCTGTCAGAAGGGATGAAAACCTTCAGGTCTGTCCTGGTGCTTCCCCACGACCAGAGTTTTATGCCTGAGCAAGTTATGTAGCTGAGGACATTGGCATGATAAAATGCATTGTCCCATATAGCAAGATCTTCTTCTTACCAGCCTCTTCCTTTACTTGGCTCAAACCCCAGCTTGTTGCTGAACAGACTGGTTTGTTGTGGTCCTCCTGTAGTGCTCACCCCCTCTGCACCTGGGCTGTTCTTAGGTTTAGCCACCACACAGCCAAAACCTCTCCTCCTCCCCTTTGGTTGGGGGATGCAAACCTGGCCTCGGCAAAGCACCTGCTGCTTTTGCAAATGGCCAATTGCAAGCGTCATTAACCATTAACATTTCAGTATCCCACAACTGTTGTGCGAATTTATTTGTTAAAGATCATTCCACTTATCAGAAGATTGACCAACACTTGAAAATGTGGAACATTGCCAGCATAAAAGGTGTTTAGGTTCTTGAAGTACAGTTTTGTTTTATCATTCCTACACCTGTAGTCTGTATATTTTGACATACTGTAATAACAATAGCAAGATAGGTCAGCCTTTAGTCATGATTGATGTTGTATTTATATTGTAAAATCTTTCAGAGTTTAATTCAAAGCATGTGAAAAAAACCAAAAAAACCAAACTCTTTCCTGTAGAATAATCTATTCCCTTTCCTATTCCAACAAAACTAGTGTTGGAAAGAAGGAGCAGACTTCAAACTTATTTTTGGTCATCTCTTATTAAAAGCTGAGAAAAGTCTAAATCATTTCCTCTGGGAGAAAGAAAATATACATGACAGCATCCTGTGATTAGTTTCATACAGTTTTAATGTGGCAAAATTGTCATTAAATATGTATTTGTTTAGCAATCTAAAATTTACTTAAATTGTGGAAGAAATTAGAGTGGCCCTGAGAAGAATTCATTAATCTTCTGTTTGCTGCTGTGTAAATAAGCAGATGAGCTTTACCTCTTTGAAACAGGAATGCAAGTGGAAGATATGAACTAGAGGTTGGGGTTTTTTAATTATTAGAAAATTTGTAATATTTACTAGAATAATAAGACTTGTCTTGTTTATAAAAATTTCAGTATAATTTCTCTGGAGTTCTTTGTTTAACTCCATTTTGTATCTCTATGAAAAGTAATACAGTCCTCTGCTCAATAAAAGATATAGTGCATTTGAATAAAGCCACAAAATTTAATCTATTTCATGGCTTGTAAAGGAAATTGGTAAATCATTTGAAAATGAAGCATAAAATTATTTGTATCTACATCTATCTTTGCATTTGAAAAGCTGTCAAGTAAGTTATCTTTCTATGGTTGAAAACAGAGTGTCTGCTAGAGAATGGAGAACAGGTTCACAATATATTTTTCAGCCTGATAGACTCTTACAGGTTATATTTAAATTACCAGAAATCAAAACCTCATCTGAAATATTTACTTAATCTTCAGTTATAAGATTCTACAAAATTTAGATTTATAGATCTAAATTTTCTAGTAATCCTTGAGTGCGTTGACAATGCTGGGTTTTGTGGCTGAGCTCAAAATACCTGCATTTGCCACACTGTATTCTGAATGACTCAAAAATATATGTCTGTTTTAACTTTGTGTAAGTCAAAGAGTTTATATAGAGTGCTAATAAGTAAGTCAATTTAAAGCAGTCTTTTAAATAAAGAAGTAAAGATGATTCATTTGGGGTAAAAGCAACTGAATAGCAAAAGGAAAGTCTATCAAAAGAGAAGACACAGGCTTTTTTTGTCTGAATAATAGGATCTAAAGACATTGCAAAATATTTTTATGAGTATTTACATCAAGGTTTTGTTGGTCTTCTTGGGTTTTTTCAGGTTTTTTTGTTTGTTTGGGGGTTTTGGGGTTTTTTTTGGTGGTTTGGTTTGGGGTTGTAGTTTGGTGGGGGGGTTGTTTGGTTGTTTTTTATTATTGATCATCCCTATGTGGAAAGTAGTGGGAAAATAGATGCATCCATATTTTCCAAAGGCACCCAATGGAAATTCAAGACTTAGTTCACATTTATTTGGGAACCAAAGGTTTCTAAATTTCTTCATATATGTTGGTATAAATAGAGCACTTGATCCCAGGTCAGTATGGCAGTGTGCTAGCTAAGCTGCAGGTGTGGAAGGTATAAACTGCAGATAGATCACTTCAATTCTAGACTTGAGAAATCTGGACCTGAATCAGGCCAAAACCCTTCTGGTTGTTAGAGCTCCTTTGAGAAGATGCTGTTTATCTGAGAGAAGGTTCTCAAAATTAGTTTCCAAATATTTCCCAATTTTCTGTGTAAAAACCTTCCTTTGGAAATTCCTGTAAATTTTTCCATCGGAAGTGTATTATTTCCTTATTAGTCTTCTCTTCCCAACTCTTCATAGGCTGCCAGGCTGGACAGCTTTACAGCTCTCTGATGCTGCACCAGGAATTGCTGGCTCTTATACAAACAGGTTTCTGGAAATGGCCAGTACTGCAATACCTTTTCTTACTTTGTCATTTTAAGAGTCATTAAGTAGATTTTAATGACAATTAAGTAGTCTCCTATATGTAATTTGAAGTAATTAAAAGTGGGATGTGTACTTTTGACATGTTTAACAGTTATATACATTTTTGTTTCATTCTTCTCTATTTTTAGCTCATGCAGACTCTGTTTTTTTCAAGTTAGAAGCACAATGTGCTGTGCCTCTGTCAGAGAACCGTTTATACAAGTGAAGGAACTGTGTTCGTATCTGATTCCTAAGTGGGAATAATGAATTCTAATTCAGTGACTTTTGTTGTGGTTGTTTAGCTTTCTTTTTTTTTTTTTTTTTTTTTTTTTTTTTTTTTTGTTTTGTTTTGTTTTGTTTTGTTTTGTTACAGAATAATAATTGCTCATGGGAGTTCACAAAAAGTACACATACTTATTTGAAATGATGCTGTTGGCATCCTGATTGTATTTAACAGTATGCAATAAATCTGGTAAAACAGAAGTTAGGTCTTTATGTATTTAAAAAGAAAAAAGTGTAAAATCTGCCTGCTGTCATGGTAAACTAAGCAATTTACTAGCATTTGATCCAGTTTTATTTTCCTCTGGAACCTGTTAATGAACTTCAAGGTGCAGGTCTCATTGCCCATTTAAAATGTGTCTATGAGTGAATTACCTGGTAATACAGCTCTCCTGCAAAGTATCTAAAGATTGTTAGATCTGGAATTTTTATTTTCTTCTGGTATCTCATCTGTCATCATCTACAATAGGCATTTGCCTTTAATTTTAACTAGCTTAAGGCAGGCTACATTTTTTCTTGGCTCTTCTTCATGATGGGATTGCCCTGCTTGCACATTCTACTACTCTGCAGGATAAAGATGTTAACTGTGAATCAGAAATCATATAGTAGGTGTAAGACTTGAAATAAAATCGATACATTTTTGTGAGGCATGTCACTGGTTAAGTGACAGAAAATATTCTGATAGTGACTGAAAAAGAAAAGTCAAAGGTACATTTGAACCTGTCAGTTCAACATATTCCTGTTATCCCTTTAGGGGATATCATACAACTTGACACCAACATTTAAGCTTTGAAAATTATGAGCTCATCTATTTCAAATGGGATGTCACATGTTCCCAAGCCTTTGCCATTACTTATAGTGGAAGACAGGATGATCACTTTTGTCACATATTGATAGTGAATAAGATCTTTCTTTTTTTCTTTTCTTTTTTTTTCTTGTTTCAGAATGAAGAACAAATTTTGGTATTTTGAATTTGGCACTTCGGAAACTTTCTCAGCCACCTGTAAGAAGCTGCATGAATCTGTAGAAATAGAAGTAAGAAACTAATTGTTGCCTTTATCCTTGAAATGTCACTAGTTTGGCTGAAATGCAGGGAGCAAGGGTGCAGAGTGCCTGAATCCAACAAGGCAAAGCAGTGCACATCCTTTCGACCCTATATTCCAAAATATTATTTTTATCATGTCTATTTGTAGTGTAGCCCTGCACACTGGAACAAAGTTCAGTTTGATGATTAGTGAAGTCTTAATGCAGTAGACAAGGTCAAGAGGTGAAATATAACATTAGAAATCAATAGGGAGTGTGGCTAGGTCAGGTGGGAAAATGAAAGACTGTTGGAGAGAGTGAGAGCTGCTGCAGGATTAAAATAATAAAAAAATAATCTTATTATTTCTAGGTCCCAAGGTTTTATAACCTTTAAAACTCAATTCCCTAAAATTGTACGTACTTTCCTGAATAAAGGTTAAAGAATATATATATTTTTTGAATTATTCCCCTTCATTAAATAGCTTTTCTCTCTGTACAAGGGGTCATCTTTCCATTATACATTGAACATTAACTCAAAAGACACAGGATACTTACAGACAAAATGGGAATTTAAAATAATGTGCCACTGCTACTTTGATGGCTGCTAGAATAAGTGGCTGAATTACATAAACTGTTTGAGCATCTGATGTTTATGAATAAGTACATGAAAAAATGAGAAGTGAGTGAAGATACAAACCTGAGAATTTAGGTTAAATAATGAAATCATTTCTCAAGAGGATTATGGTGCTTTTCCTTTCCAGTAGTAATGAGAAACTGCATGTGTCAATGGAGTATTTGTATAGTAGCATGAGGCACTCAGAGAGGTCTGGTGCGAGCTCTGAGAGTCCAGTCAAAGCCTCCTGAAGGGTGAATTCTGAAATGATCTGAAGGAACCATAGCAGAACAGTAGCAGAGAATACTGAGACTGAAACTGTACGACCAGCAGTACCACACTTGCCTGTTAGGCTGTTATGTTTCTCTTTGAAGGGAAAACCTGCTCCTCTTGTGTTAGATTAAAATATAATAAAAATAAAACAAAACTCCACCGAAAGCCTTAGGAAAAAAACCCTTAACAAAAAAATCACCCTTGCTTCACAAGAGAGTGATTCACACACATGAGTTTAGGGAAATGTAGCATTAAAAATATTTTATTAGTTATTGGAAGAAATGCTTACCTGGTTTGATTAGATTTGAATAAACTGCAAATAAACTGTTAAATTTTTACTGTAAATTAAAACTGTATCTTTTGATTAAATACAATTTGAAGAGCAGGCTTTCCCAATAAAATACTGATATCTAGGGAAAGTCATACATATCCTCATACATACTAAGATATAAACTTAATAATTTTAACTATTCAATGTTAACATCACAAAGCAAACAAGTAGGTATACAAGTTTGTGGTGCTGCTGCTATCAGTTGTGTAATTATTACGTATTCATGTCAGTAACTATTATTACCAAAAAAGTGTTACATTGCCAGTATAGGAGACATGTTTGTTAATACTTACTTCATCTATCCTATTCATTACCATTAGTCATACAGTTAGAAACAAAAAGCATAGTTTCCAAAGTTTACAAGAACTATTAGGAGGTGGTTATTTGTGTATTTATTTACAATGAGTAAATTACAATGCTTGCTAGTATGCTTGTATCTAATGTTTCTTGTTTGAACATTATCAGCATTTTAGTCTGATTTTTAACCTCATGCCCCTTGGGGATGCCACTGTAAATGGGAGGTTGATGCATGAGACCATATTTCACTCCAAATAAAATGCACAAAGAATGTGCTTGCTCTACAGCCAAACTTTGAATGAGCAAAGCATGAGAAGGTTAAGGATCTGTATCTCTGAGCTGTTAGACGGTGATCAAATGTTCTCTGGGCAAATATTTTTTTAGCCTTGTATTTGATTTCTAACCTAATTAAGCTTCGTTTTTCTGACATACATTCTTGACTCATGTTCTGTATGTTTTCTTCTGTGTGCGTGTGAGATGCAGAACAAAGTCGGATACCATTTTTATATTATCCAGAATAAGATGTATTTTTGTTTTCAAAATCAGATGTAAGAAGTTGAGGAGAGGTTCTAAAGGGAAAGAAACCAAAATGAAACAAACCAACAAACAAAAACTAGGACAAAATTAAGTATTTATTTTCAATAATAGTGTGTCAGTAAACAAGGCTGAAGATTTTACAATTTGAAGAACTTGCAGTTTATTTCCACTTCAGAAAAAAAAGAAAGGTATGTGAAAGATATTTAATGAGAGTTGGTACAGATGTGGTGTAAGTAGGGGTGGCATGGACCATACCTGCAATGCTGTAAAAGCATAATGGGAGCAGTGTAAACCTTCTATACCACCTGGTGTTAATGGGTACTAGAAAGGAGTTTAAAAGATTCCTGTACACTTGCCTGATATTGCCCTTGGTTTCACAGCAAAGCCTTAATATCAGCTCTTTTCAGGCATAGATATGTATTTTCTCAAAAGAGAGATGATCTGAAAATAATTGATATGATAAATAAGGTATAAACAATAATACCCAAGAAGTAAATTAGGCCAGGAAAGAAGGCAAAAAAAGAGTTAGAAGAGCTAGTGTATCTTTTTTGTCTAGGTCAGCATACTCCACATTTTAAAAGTATGCTTTTGTTTTTAACAGCATCATTACATTATTTGAAATAAAAAAAAAAAAGAAAAGGAGCAGAACATGTGTGTTTTGTTTTTGTAGTATATGAATGTGTTAGAACTATGCAGAGCTACCTGTAGGGCAAATTTTTTGTCTGTGTATGAACAAAAGAAATGCTCCTTTCCTAATTCAAAAAGTTGCTCATCACTGGGGGACTCTCAGGCCTCCTCACATAATTGTCTTAGTGTACTACCTGCTGTGCTCAATATTGAGTGAAAATGGAAGCTAGACCCCGCACCATCCTATTTCACAATTCTTCTTTTATTTAAATAATTCCAGTCGGTTTGGGGGACGCCAGACCTTTATAAATTAACAGCAGGGAAATACCAAAGGTGTCAGATTGCATATTTATCATCTTTCTCGTGTAATACTTAAATATGTATTAAGAAGTGACTGACATAAATTAGGCAGATTTCAGAAGCCACAGGCCGTGGCTTGTAGAGGACCCCCTTCTGCTTGACATTTCATCCTTGTCAAAGATCAAATTATTTTAATTTAGGCTGCAAATTATAAGAAATGAAGACTTCTTTGTGGGAATTCCCTGTGGTAATCTGACTTTTGTTGTTACTGCTGCTTGTCAGTGTGCAAAAGATATAATATGCATGCAAATAAGGTTAAAAAATATGTACTATCTAATTATCCAGCCAGTACATTCCACTTGAAGACAGTGGGAGGCCTGACACACAGTATGTGTTTGATTCATTGAGGCCTGCAGGGTATTTACACAAGATTACTTTTAATTATGAAATTAATATCTGTTTATCTAGAATGTATAGCAGTAAGTGAGCATACACATGAGCAGAATTTTTAGCAAAATAAATCATCTTAGTATTTAATACATATAAAATACTGGGGAAAACCACAAATTTGCTTCCAAAAATGACAGTGAAAAGCTAGGCCTTCATTCTTGTAAGAAAAGTGTTATTAAAAAGTTGCACTTTCAATTATAGTAGTTGCCACAACTGCCAATTCACTTTCAGATATGCCTTTTGACTTTAAATTTTCTCCTGTATGAATATAATCCACAGGTTTAAAATTTGATTGTTGAAGAGCAAATATGAAATGGAAATCTTAGTGTTGAAATTGTTCTCTGGCCAGATTTATGCTCTTCTTAGAAGAATTAAGATGTGTGTACATTATAATACAGTTCTTTTTTATGATCTCAGAAAGTTTCAGGATAAACAATTATTCACAGCTATTCTTGCGTTGTACTTGGCTTTTCTTCTTCAAAGCTGCGATAAAGTTTTAGGCAGAGAGGAAGAAGTGCCAGTGACCCACAGAGCAGCAAGCTGCAAGATGTCAGTGGACTACTACTGAGGCATGCTTAATTATTTTTCCAGTTTTCTCCCTGATTATTGTGTGTTGGAATTGCAAAATAATACCCTTAATAAATTGGAAATGGATGACTGGATCCTCTACAAGCCTGCAGAACATGGGAGGAGTAGGATGAAATGTTTTAAAAATATGCTGCTCTACACTGTGGTCCATATGACTTGCGAGGATATTGCTACACTCTGTCTGTGTTGTGAGGAATGAAACTAATCCATCTGTAGCCAGGGTGCCAGTACATGAATCCTGGGCAACTCTGGCTGGTTCATTGAACTAACGAGTAGAACTGGGTGCTTTGCTTACCACCTTCAGGTTCCACTGTAGTAACATGAAGTTGTGGTTTATTTTCTCCTGTGGAGGTTCTTCAGTATTTTGCTACATTTTATATGAGTTAAAAACTTCTTAATGTCGGTAGGGAGGAGGACTTGGCTTGAGTGAAGGCTCGGTGTATGCTATCAAGCTAGGTTCATCTCATCCACTGTATCTCAGGTGAACTGTATTTGCAAATGTTTGTGTTCAACCACCTGAGAAAATTCTGCAGTTTATTGCTGGGCAGGCTGATATATTAAGATCCCAGAAGCATTCTCCAGAAGTGAAAAATATGGATATAAGATACAATTGGAAGCCAGATTTAGCATAGAAATGTACTTGTATAAAATGTCTTCATGTCCAGGTTTGCTATAGGAAGCATGAGAAACACACACCAGTGACACAAGATGGGTATAATTCCATCACTGAAGGAACTATCCCATAGGCTAAGATTACTTCCATGTGTCCAGTAAGTCTTGGAAAGGTTTTAGGTCACTGATGCCTCTTCTTTAGCTCCACATGCTATGTTTTCCCTTAGCAGTGATGCATATTTCAGAGGACTGGTTGGTGAAGGTTCTGGTGTAAGAATTGCTGCAGCTGCCTCAGGAATTGTTGTACGCATTTCTGCTGATTTTAGTTGTTGCTGGGAGCCACTAGTCAGCCATAGCCCTATGCTGATATGCTTGTTGTGCCTTTGGATTGAAATGAATACTGTGTGCTGTTCTGTGCTCCTGGGGCTTGCTTAGCCCCTTTTCCATAAGTCTGTGTGTTCTCTGCCTGCAGGGGCTTTGTATTCCATCTGTTGTGGAAGGGACTCAGTTGCAAGAGTTACAAGTATCACTGCAAAATCATAAGGCAGAAAATTGTGGAAAAGGCAACAAAAACTCCAGTTTATTGGTAAATTTTGGCAGCATAAATGTTTTTCTGCTACTATCTGTAGTGAAGCTAGAAATATATTTCACTTGGGTCAGTGAATAGGTATCAGATAACACGACAATACCAAATGGTCCCGCACTTAGGCAATCAAAAGCTGAATAGCAATCTTATTTTACCTTCTGATTGATGATCTGTTCTTATCTCATATCTCCTTTTCAGATACAAGTATATCTCTTAGGTGTAAACATTGAATAAACTATTAGCAGCGTTAAGAATGATAAATTGCTGAAGAAAAATATCTGAGAAAAAGAACATTAAGATTTTTCTTTCTTACTGCTTTCTCTCTTTTTTTCTTTTTTTCCTTTTTTTTTCCTTCCTTTCTAATCAGTGTGATGGAATTCAGCTGGACTTAATCAATATCTCTCTGGAAGGAATTGCCATTCTAAACATCCCAAGCATGCATGGTGGATCGAATCTTTGGGGAGAGACAAAGAAAAGACGTAGCCACCGTCGGACAGAAAAGAAGAGGTCAGATAAAAGAACCACCGTTATAGATGCCAAGGAATTGAAGTTTGTGTGCCAAGGTAAGCTTACAGATTGATATAGGCTATCTGGCTCCATAATGTCAACTTGGTTATATAAATGACCTTGTCAAGGAAAAGGACAGACAGTTCTTAGATATTTCCTTTCCTGTGCATTTAGCTTTTCTGGTGGGAAACACTGCCAGAAGGGCAGAAAGAAAGATGTACTGCCAATTGCAGTCTCTATACTTGCAAACCTGCCTCAGATATTACCTGTAAAGCAGACTAATCACACCCTGTGGCACTGCTGGCTACTGGGACATTCGGTCTAGAAGTAGTTGGAGATTTTGGAGTTGGACGGTGCTTTCTGAGCATTTATAATGTTTCTTAATGTCAGTGTGCATAAAACTTGGGGATAGTTGTGCCCTCATTCTAACAAGCTTTGGCCAGAGGTGAGGGAAATCACCTCAGAGTAAAAAGACCAAGCTATCTGTAGATTTTGTGCTACTATGTTGTAATGCTGTATGAATCCTTGAATACATATGCTGTAGGTGGCTTGCACAGGCATGACAATTTTTTTCAGGGTTCATATACTTTCCTGGTGATTAGATGCACTTACTCAATAAATTTTATTATTAAACATAACTCTTGACAAAACTAGTAATAAATAACAATTGCTGTTCTTCTCTGAGAATCTGAATAGTATGCATTGTAACACTTGACTGCACATCACAAGCCCGAGTGATTATAAGCCATCATTCTCTTCTCACCAAAGGAATGAACAGTTTGGGGTTTGTTTGTTATTTTCTAGTTATCCTACAAAAAGGATTATCTTTTGCTTCAGAGTATCTTCTTGCTTCTCCTCATTATTCAGACTTTATAAAGATCATGACTTAACTGTCTTATGCTGTTGGGATCCATTCCCTAGTTTTGAATATCCTATTTTTACGTTTCATCAGCAGTAATTTTTAAGTCCCTAGTTATAACATTGTTCATTATTATGTGTTTTAATTTTAATTCAGCTAAATTATCTGGATGACAAAAGTTTAGGAATAAAGTAGTTTTTTATGGCTTAGAGGCTGCAATAAGAACTAGCATTCAATTTCTGTGAGCTCTAGCAATTTTACTTATGTTCTCAGTATCTCAGTGTGACTTACCAATACACTCTGTCAGCCAAAGCCTCACCAGGCACAAAGCTTCTGCATATGCTACAATTCTGTCTTATGCCCTGATGTTCAAGAGATGGATGCTGAAGGTAAAGGGCTCACCAATATTTTCCTTTTGTTTTGCTCTTGAACACAGGGAGACAGGACATTTGTCCTGTTGATAGTAGTGAAACAGACATTATAATTTCTTTCATTATTGAAATTTTGTGCGTCTATGATACATATTTAACAGTGATTTCAATCTTCTGACTATAATTGATGTATTAAAAGGGCATTGCAACACTCATTTTCCATTTTCCCGGACAGGATAAAATAAAATTACAATAAAAGTATTAAAGACTGAACAGAATTTCCCATGTTATCTGTCAAAGTGTTCATAATGCAGACATTAAGCACCTTAGTTTAGAAAAACTGTTCTCGTTACTTACTTTTTAATCACTTTCTATGCCCTGTGGATGGAAGTAGCTTCATCCAAAGGCAATTTTAAAGCAGAGGTTGACTTCTCAATATCCAAAACTAGATCACCTCTCAGATCACTGAGTACATGGATAGTATGATTGTTTGCATCTTCACTACCATTCCAGTGCTGAGCAGTATCCTTCTTGGATTTCAGAGTGGCCCATATTTATTTTGTTCCAGTTTGCAACACTGAGAGGTCTTGAGCATGCAAAGTGGATTCCTTTTAAAGGTGTGGGGTGTGTGGGGGTGGGAGCTATATGCTCTACTGCAAGTGCTTGTTTAGCCCATAAAACCAGGTTAAAACAACTCAAAATAAAACTCAAGAATGAAGGTAGTGAAAACTCAAAAATGAAGGTGAACATTTCAGAATCAATTGATTAGCTTAATGGGCCCACTCCTATCTTATACTGCAAAGAACAGTCTCTTAATTCTACTAGTTAAGACAGATTCTTAGGCTGAATGTACTTCTTCAACTCAGAATTAATGATTATTGCTGAATAATGGAATTCAATCAATTTTATGTGTACGCTCCTCAAACAGTTTTGATAAATCTGAATCTACTCACTGGGGAAATAACTGACTCTCACTTGAAAACATTACGATTTTTTCACTAGCTGATTATTTTCTTAGGCACTATGTATTTTTGGCACATTGTACTTTTTAGTTTGAAGAAAACATTTTGCAAGCTATTAATACCTTCTGCAGAGGTGGGTATTGCTGTCTTGAGAACCATGATAAATACATACCTGCTTGTTAACTAATGTTTATTAACTTATTCTGAATAAACATCCTTGTAGTTATTTTTATGTTTAAATAAAGCATCTAATCACTTGACAACTAAGCACTGCACTTCCTAGGAGAGAGCAATCAATCCTCATGTTTTCCTATGGATACATATATATATGTGTGTGTGTATATGTATTTATATCAGATTTTGGTGTTGAATTTTGTTTGGTTTTTACAAATCTAATGTTTTTGTATGGGATTTCTGAATAGCATGCACATTTACTTTTAGACTTTTGCAATTGCAGTACAACTGTGGCTTTTTCAGCTGTGCATGAATTTGTATTCTTGTCTCTGCTTTTCTGGTTTTACAACTTGACCATATATAGATGAATTGAAGGTTAGGACTCTGAGGTCTTAGGTGGGGTACTTGCATGGATGACTGGAAGCTGTCTCCTTGCTCTGGGTAGTTTGTTGCCCTGGAGCACGTTGAGCAGTCCCAAGGAGAACTTCTCAAACTACCCAAGAAACCTCTATGAGGTCCTGCTGCTGTCTTCACACGCTCTCGTGTGCAAGCCGTGTACATGCAACGTGATCATCACTGCAGGAAAAAGGGTCAAATTTCTGCCATATCTTTTTTCTCTCTTTGGTATATGCACAATGCAGGGAAGGTATTTTTCTCTGAGCCCACTCCCCTCTTTCTTTTCTTTCCTGTTTAGCATGTCCACCTGTTGATGTAAAAAGGCTTGTCTTTTCTTTGCCCTTCCCATTATCCTCCTCTGCACACATAATAGCCAGACCACAATTTGCACTTTAACTAATCAAATGGATGTCTGCTTAGAACACAATCTGATTATGTGCATGTTGTCTGAAAAACAATGTATTGAAATTGAGTGGTTTAGAATGTGCACTATTTAAAAACATTCCCTGCTTATCTTATTAGGGGTTTGTGCATGTATGCTAAAAAAAAAACATTCAGCAGTCATAGCATATATGTGCCTGTGTATTGCATTTCTGTCTAACTAATAACATTTTAATATAAAACATGTATGAAAATGTATTTGTCTGATTAGCTTATAACTAATTGGAAAAAAACAAACATATTTAGCTGTAGCATACTAAGTACTATCATAAAAAAGTACTACAGGTTTCATTTCAGCTCCTGTGCAGAAGTAGAGAGGGTCTTTCATCACATTTTATTAGAGTAAAAATCATGTGAGTTTTATGATTTAATTTCATTTTAATTTCTAATTTATCAATACAATTTCTATTGTAAAATGTCAATGCTTTTGGAAAAAAATACAACTACAGGTATATGTGACAGTTTGTGAAAGTAGATGATTTGGTGTTTTGACATTATGAATCTCACACTTGCAATGTTTCCAGTTGTTGTTTTATTTAAAATCTTCTAGTATGTACATCTTTATGATATATCTATCCACAGGACATTTACAGATTTTAAATGTTACTGTGAACTACCCATTATTTAGATAGGACTTCTTTTTGGATATTCACAGATATCGATACATGCCAAAAGTCAGTAGTTTGAAAAGATTAACATACTGCATAGAAACAAAACTATGAGTTGAGAAACATAAATGCAAATAAGTGCACTACTTGGTTGCAAATTGCATCTAAAACAAGTCAAATTGTGACAACATGTCTTACATGAAAAATATATACCCCTTATGTCAAGTCTTAAACAGTTTTCTTCCTCACAGAAATTCTAAATAAAATTTTAAAACTTTTGTGACAAAAAGGAGGTTTGAGGTTTTTTTGAATCTCTCCAGTAAACTTTTTGCTGAATGAAGTTTCCCTTGGGGTGGAAGTTGTTATGCTTTGATTTCATTGTTGAAGTTCAGTTAGAGCCCTATTCTGAAATGGGATCTCTTTTAAAGACTCTTCAGATTTAATGGCAGAAATATATATAACTTGTTTTTGCATGAGTGGTTTCACTCACCTCATTGGACTAATGGTTGAGGACAATATGTATGATGAAACCTTTAGACTATAAACATTTCAGTGAAATACTTTTTCCGTATTTATTTTGTACATCACCAGGCACACTGATACTTAACCAAGTCCTTACCAAGTTGATCTGTGCACCTTGTTAAGAGCTACAGGGAGCTGTCACTCCACTGAATATTAGATGAATTCAAGACAATGTGCATTCATACTGCAGCACCTAGGCATAAACCAAGCTTACCAATATGATTCAATAACTCTGTGTGGAAATCTCTTTTAATAACTGCATTATGACTTTCTGAATGGAAATGCAGAAGCTTTGGAAATGGAATAATGTGTATGCAGGCACTTCACTGCAGTTAAAAGCAGTTCAAGACATGCAGAGTGTGTGAAGGCCTTAAAACGCTTCAAAATATCCATAAATATTAAGAGAATAGAAAATGCCTTTCTAGGTGTCAAATTCCACTCTACAGGGAGAGAGAAGCTTCCCTATAGATAGGGGATTCCTCACATGTTCCCTAAACAGCTTATAACTTCGTGAGCTAGCTGTCTAATTTAATTTATGGAGGTCTTTCATAACCTGTACTCTGGCTGGGTGACCTTTCCTTGCTGAAAAGTAGAAACTGTGCACTATATACTCAGTCTGTGTAATATATACACTAGATATGCGCAGGGTATATTCATTATTGGCAGACTTTGGGCTATTTTTGCCGTGGTAAGGCATGTATAATGAAGTCGCTATAATAATAT